ATTTGTAAATTTTAATTACTGTAACTTTATAATATATTCTAATATCTGAACAGGGAAGCTTTGCCTCAAGACTTCTCTTTTTAAAAAAATATTATTCTCATTTACTTATTCTGAACCTTAGAATTATTTTATCTGGGGCACCTGGGTGGCTCAGTCGGTTAAGTGTCCAACTCTTGGTTTTGGCTCAGGTGGTGATCTCAGGGTCATGGGATTGAGCACACACACCCCCACCCCGCCCTAGGGCTCTGTGCTCAGTGGGGAGTCTGCTTGAGATTCTCCCCCTCTGGCCCTCCCCCACTCTCTCTCTCTCAAATAGGTAAATAAATCTTTTAAAAAAGAATTATTTTATCTAGATTTCACTCTCTGCCTCTCCTCTCCCAAAGTTAATTCCAATGGGATTTTGGTTGGCATAAATAAATAACTTCAGAATACTTGATCTCTCTTTTAGGAGTATGGTATATCATTTCAATTTTTAAAGTTTTCCTTTATATCTCTCATTAAAGTGACACATCAATTAAATGTTTATGATTTCTTTTCCTCTGAGACCACAACAGAATTTAACATCGGTGACACTCTCGTCTTTGGGGAAATTTATCCCACCACTGCTCTTCTCATAACTCTATCCTGATCCCTCTTTTTTTTTTTTAAGATTTTATTTATTTTTTTGATAGAGAGAGAGCACAAGTAGGCAGAGAGGCAAGCAGAGGGAGAGAGAGAGAGAGAAGCAGGGAGCCTGACATGAGGCTCGATCCCAGGACCCTGGGATCATGACCTGAGCGGAAGGCAGCCACTTAACTGACTGAGCCACCCAGGCGCCCCCTGATCCCTCTTTCTTATGTCTTCTCAAGTAGCAACTCTGATATTCATTAAGGTATCTTCTTTCTCTTTATGGCTCCCTTCATAGATTTTTCCCTATGCAGAGAACCATGAACTATCAACCAGAATCTCTTTCCAGAGCCCCTGTCCAAACATTTTTACATTCAGACCTTGCCAAACAGCAGCATCCCTGCTCTGGATACACTGTGCAATTACCCTTCCCTCTTATCTGTTCCCATGTCCATTAATTTAGAGCTCTTCAATGTACTCACATCAGCTAGGCTGCAACAAACCATCCAGAAGAAATTATTTTATTTGTTATCTTCCTATAAATATCGGTGTTTTAACAAGGAATCCTTGTTTTACTTCCCCTGACTCTTCCAAAATTGAGTAACCCTCCATGGAACTTTCTAATAGTGCTGTAGGTAGGCAGGGACAGGATGTGGGTGCTGATAATATTTTCATCACATCACTCATTCTAGCTCTGTACCAGTCGGGGCCAGTCAGGAGATGGAAACTACTTAATAATTGGAATATTTGGAAAGTTTAATATAAAGAATGGTTAACTATAACAGAGCATTGCAGTAACAAGGGATTGGCTAGTCAGAAACAAAGAGAACTCTAGGGAATATAGTAATAGCAGTTAAAAGGAACAGAGAACACCCCCGGAACTGCAATAAAGTGCCCAAGGAAGGAGTCCCTCACCAATCTCACACACATAACTGAGGTCCAGACCTTGTTGGAAAGGGCATAGCAATGGCTCACTGCTGCTGAGCCAGCAAAACTTGCTGGAAATCTACCCTCCAGAACTTTCTGGATATTGATGGCCTTTAAGGTGCCAGAGAAAGCTGTTCGTGGGCAGGTGTCCTGCTAGCAGTCCTCTGCTATGACCTTGCATAAGGGGGTTGGCCAGGGACAGCTGTTGGCCGCTGGGTGCTACTGACCACTGTGCATTGCAGATAGCAGAGGCTGGAGAAGCTACTTGTACTAGACGAGTTTGGGGCTGGAGAAGCTATGGCAGGAGTCTGTAGGGAGACGCACACTAGAACCAGGAAGACAGCTCCTCCTTCTTACGATGTCATTCTAGTGCCCTCTACTGACAAAGCTTAACAACCTGTTGGTAGGCAAAAGATAAGTATTTAAAGGATCCACCTGTTTTTCCACAGAGCAGCCAAAAAGGGTGAAGGTGGAACTGAGAGGTAATAAGCTGACAGCTATCATGGGTATGTTTCTACACATGCTCAAATAAGGGCGCCTGGATGGCTCAGTCAGTTAAGCATCTGACTCTTGATTTCAGCTCAGGTTATCATCTCAGGGTCATGACATCAAACCCCATATCGGGTTCCATGCTGGCTGTGGAGCCTGCTTAAGATTCTCTCGGGGTGCCTGGGTGGCTCAGTTGTTAAGCATCTGCCTTCGGCTCAGGTCATGATCCCAGGGTCCTGGGATCGAGCCCCGCATCGGGCTCCCTGCTCGGCGGGAAGCCTGCTTCTCCCTCTCCCACTCCCCCTGCTTGTGTTCCCTCTCTTGCTGTCTCTCTCTGTGTGTCAAATAAATAAATAAAATCTTTAAAAAAAAAAAAAGATTCTCTCTCTCTGTCTCTCTCTCCCCCTCTGCCCCTCCCCCTCCCTCTCTTAAAAAAATACTCATAAATATCTAGATGACTTTGGTTATTTCCACCATACCCGGACATTCTACTTGCAAACCTTTCAATTATCTTAGTTCATTGCAAGGGCAAAGATTTTTTTTTTTTCTAATTTATGTATTCTAGTGCTTGCCAGAAATTTCCATTGTCTGTTCTCAGCACATACATGTTAAATGCTCAAGGGCAACGGTCTGAGTAGGCAATATAGCTCAGTGGTTGAACAGACCCTGGAGCAGACTACTTAGGTTTAAACGTAGTTCAAACAGGGTTACTGGCTACTGCCACTTACTGGCTATGACCTTGAGCAAGGATTCCATCTCTTGTGTGCCTCAGCTTCCTCATCTTTATAATAGGAACAATAGTACCTAATTCACTGGCTTATTGGGAAGATTAAATGCGTTAATACAGGAATCTCCCACTTAATAGTAGCAATCCCTTTAGGAAAATCAGATTTCTGCAGGAAAATCTGGAGCCTATTTTATGTTACTTTGAAAAGGAAAAATTTGAATGAATAATAATCAACCAATTCTACCCCTCCAGCAATTTCTTAAATTGCAGCTAAACATAGTAAGTCTCTACTTATAAATAAACCATTTTTTTTAAGGAGGGGGGCGGATTGAGGGAGAGACAGAGGGAGAGAGAGTACCTTAAGCAGGCTCCAACGCCCAGTGAAGAGCCTGAGGCTGGGCTGGATCTCACCACCCTGGGTCAAGATCTGAGTCCCTATCAAGAGTCCTACGCTTAACCGACTGAGCCACCCAGACTCTCCAAAATAAACCACAGTATTAAGATGTAAAATGCTCAGAACACCGCTTCTGATCTTCAATAATCTTAACAAATGGTACCTCCTATGCCAGAAGCCCTCCTTACACTGTCATATTTCTCTCTCACTTTTGCTTCCTTCTCTACAATTTTCTTCAATGCTTTCCCAACTTTGTTTTGAACTCAGTGTATAACACTAGGCCAAAACAAGGGTTAAGTATGAAAGTCAGCAGGACACAGGTTCAACACTAAGTGGCAGGGGAGAATGAACACTGAGCAGGATTGTGAGACCTTCTAACCCCGCCCGCCCCCCTCCCCCAATATCCTAAGGGGCATTTCTAGACACACTTCTTGTGTTGACAATAACCGCACTTTTCAAAAGATTTATGCTGGCATTTGATCTTTACCAATTGAATTTGGAATGTAACTTTTCCTGAACTGTTAACAAACAAAACAGTTGTTTTGTTTTAAAATGTATTGAGTTTGGTTTATGTAAATATAATCACCCCCCACCCCCGCCCCCAGCAGCTGGAATGTGTGGGATTGAGAAATCCGTACTCCTTTACAGATTTTAGATATTAAAAACCAAGAAACAGGGGCGCCTGGATGGCTCAGTTGGTTGGGCGACTGCCTTCGGCTCAGGTCATGATCCCAGGGTCCTGGGATCGAGTCCCACATCGGGCTCCTGGCTCAGCGGGGAGCCTGCTTCTCCCTCTGATCCTCTCCTCTCTCATGCTGTTGCTCGCTCGCTCTCTAATAAATAAATAAATAAAATCTTAAAAAAAAAAAAAACAAAAAAAACCCAAGAAACATTCTACCAGGAAAACACCAAGCTTAGGGAAAGCCTTTAGAATACTTCTGGCCGACAGAATATGATATAAAGGTTTGCTGAGTCTGACTTACTAAATTTGTCAATAGTTGTACTGTTCCTTAATTCACTCCTTGCAAAATATTTTTTGATTTCCTACTCCGGGCCAGCTTTGCCAGCCTTAGGGGTGGAAAGGTGAATGAGATCTGGTCCCTACTTTCAAGGAGTCAGCAATTTAGGAGGAAAATGCAAGGGGCAGATTGCGGTAGCTGCCTGGAGGGGCTGCGGCGGAGGGAGGCAGGAGCACCGCGTGGAAGCCAGAGATCCGCCCGCCAGGTCGGCCCCGCGCCGCAGGGCCCAGAGCTAGGTCCGCGGTGCTATAGAAGCCGCGGGGCCGGACCCGTTACACCCCGAACCCAGAGGAAGAAAGCGACATTCTATTCGTTTTGCGATTGGAAGCCACGGAAAGGGTTAATCAGAGGGAGATTATGTGATAAAATTTTTGAGAAAGATCTTGTGTGTTACGTTGTGAATCTCTGATGCTTTGGTACTTTGGGGAGAGAGGATGACATTCTCGTATTCTCATTAGAGACGCCGCACTCGCTTTCCTGGCCTCCCGGCTGCAGGTGCGGCTGTGGGCCAGTAAGGGCTCTTGGAGGAACACCCCAAACCCACATTCAATAAGGCAGCACAAAAGGGAAGCGGCCGTAGGGAGGAAACCGAAGTGGACCGCTCCGGGTTGCGGCAGTGGTCCAGGGGCAAGAGCGAGCGGGCCGAGGAGTCTGCTGAGAGCGTAAGTTCACTAATTCCCACCCCCGCACTGGAGCGGATTTCAGGTGGAGACACCGACCACTCCGACCTCCCTCCAATTCACAATCTGAGGCTCCGGGCCCGGAACTCCGGGCTAGACGGCCCCGCCCCGGAACCTTGTGTCACCGGAACTAAATGCCGAAGTTCCTTTTGTTACCACCGGTCGCAGCTCTTACTGGTCGCTTCCGGTGAGGAAACATGGCCGCGGCCGTTCGGGACTCACGTGTGGGTGCAGGGAAAAAGCTGAAAAATTCACTGAAGAAGAAGAAGAAGATGAAAATGGTAGCCAGAGCAGTATCTTCGGAGTTGGAAGATGAGGGCAAAGACGCTGCCAACAGTGGAGGTAACGTACTAGGGTTGAGCTGAAAAGAAAGGCCGGGTTGAATCCGCGGGAAGCAGGGAATGCGATTGGCTTTGCTGCAGTTTTATCTCGGGTGGCATCCAAGGGGCGACTTTGGCCCAGTGAGAAGGCTTGGAGGTGGTGTTTAGGGAAGGGACGCTTTGAACTTCCACATTCTTTTACTAGACATTGTCACCGTCACTGTTACTGATTAAAAGGGATGAAAGCAGCAAAAAGGTTACAATGATAGAAGGCAAAATGAGAGGGTATATTTAAAATTACAAGAGTGGGAAAAGTTTCTTAGGGAACGAGGAGCAAAAGGCCAAAAGAGCTGAGAGGAAGATGAATGGTATACTTGACTTTTCTTGTGTGGTACGTTCGTGACTCTGGGAGTCAGAGACCTGATAGCAGTGAATGAAAGAAGAGGACGTGGTTAAAGTAGAATAAATAAAAGTATCAGTTGATCTCTCAGAGACGCTTGTTAAAGGAAGGAAAGATATTTTGAGGCCTTCAGCCATGATGTGACCATGCTGCTCCTCTTTACCATCATTCTTGGCATTAGCTTCTTAGGTTATAAGGAATTTGAGATGGCCCCTGACCTTCTAATGTTCCAGTTATTGCTCCTTAATACTAGCTAGAGCTTTGTAACAGCCAGAACTATTCTTTTATAATGGACCTCAGATCATGAGAGTTATCTGCTCAAGATGGTCCAGTGGCTTCCCATCTCAGACTAACATCCAGAATCCTTAGACTGTATGAGGTAGCTCAGGCCGTTTTTTCTCTCATAGTTTTCTACTCTGCCCCCTACTAACTACTAACTGTAATCTAACCACATTGATATCCTTGGGGTTTAACACATCAAACAGGCTCCCACACCAGGGTTTCGTCACTTGCTGGCTTCACTGCCTAGAGTATTTTTCAAATACTTGCATGGCTCTCTCTTCCTGACTTCCTTCCATCTCGGATCTAGTGCTTTATCTGCAAGACTTGACCCTCATCACCCTATGTAATGTACCATCACTACTCTTCTTGCCTCCCTACCTTCACTTTTGACTAATCCTGCTGTATTTTTCTCAGTGTTTCCCAAATCATCTGGCATGTTATATAATTGCTGTGTGTTTCTCCCAGCTGAAATGTAAGTTACGTAAGAGTAGAGATGGCTGTATCCCAGTATCTAAAACAGTTCCTGCTGCATAGTGGATTTTTCACAGAAATTTAAGTAAATGAATGGGTAAATCTGGACTTCCAGAACCAAGAAGAAACTGTCATGTGCTAGCTACTGCAGTCCCTAGGTAATTACAGTCCTCATCCGCTTCCAGAGTAATTAAGAAACACAGTCAGTTTGTTGAGCAGGAATTAGAACTTCTGATTCTGCTATTTCCTGAACTCAATAGACTAGTTCATGTGGGGTTGTCAGGGAAAGAAGCAGTACTACATTTGAAGCAAAACACCAGTACTGCTTACAAATTTAAGTGGAAATTAGATTTCTCTCTTTAAGTACCGAATAATTCCAAGTTAGAGCTGTTCTGACTTTTCAATGCAGTATTGTCAATGCTGACCAGGTTCTAAGGTTCTCTTGCTATTATAGATAAGTTACATTGCGGATTAAGGGTTTTGGGTACTATGGAAACCTAATTATCCTTTAGGTGGATAATTTACCCTGTGTTGAGGAACAAAGGATAAATAAATTTCTGCCCTAGAATTATAGTCTTAGGGAAGATAGATATTCAGCACAGGACTGTAAAAGTAGTTATTACAATCATGGTCCAATTAAAATGGTACAAATGGAAACAGAAATCCGTATCCTGTAGAACCCAGCTTAGGCATTGCTTTCTTCTGTCTTACACATATTACTCATAGTATGCTATGTTATTATTTTATTTTAACATACCTTTCTCCTTATAGATTCCCCAAATGCTGGAACTGTGTCTTATTTATTTCCATAGGGCCTTCCTTGCACATTTTAGTATTAAGTACATTTTCTTGCTGAATAAACGAATGAGGTGGCATTTCATCTAGGCCTTAGAAGGGTGAATAATTTTCTAAGTCTGGGGGTTCGAGAAGACAGGTTCCTCAGACGTCCAGAGAAAAGCACCTACAATGGCATGCAGCCTCTTAAAAGGCATGGGCTATTTAGGACACCGTGAATTATCTGCTGTGGCTCTAGCTTCCAGAGAAGTTACTGACATGAAACCGGGAACAGAGGGTAAAGCCAGATTGTGAAGAGTCTTGTGTGCCGTATGAAAGAGATCGGCGTCTCCATTTGTAGACAGTAGGGAACAGTTGAGAACTTTTAAGGAAGAGAGAGACACGTGTTTATTCATACCGCTGGCGGCTGTATGGCGGCTGGCGCACGGTGCCAGAACTCCTGGTGGGCCCTGGCAAACCTGTGTCCGCGCCAGCACCAGTGCAGGACTGGGGGGGGGGGGGCACAGGGCTCCACCTGAAATGTTTTTCAGAAGAAAAACATTCAGTTTTCCAAATAACCAACTTAGAAAAAAACTCATAGCACCATAAATTTTGGGTGTGCTCTACTGTTAGAGGAGTTCGATAATAAGAGCTATATTTTTTGAGCTTTTGTATGTACTGTGTGCTGTTCTAAGCTCCTCATATGTGTGCCATTTCAATGCTGACAACAACCCTATGAGATAGATTCTGTTATTCTCATTTTACTTATGGGAAGCTGAGGTCCAAAAAGGTTATAACTTGCTGCTCAGCAGGTTGATAAATGACACAGCCATTATTGAAGTTTGGCTGTAGCACCTGTACTCTTTTTTTTTTTTTTAAAGATTTTATTTATTTATTTGAGACAGAATGAGAGAGAGAGAGCATGGTGGGGGGAGGGTCAGAGGGAGAAGCAGACTCCCCGCCAAGCAGGGAGCCCGATGCGGGACTCCATCCCAGGACCTTGGGATCATGACCTGAGCCGAAGGCAGTCGCCCAACCGACTGGGCCACCCAGGCGCCCCTATTTTTTTTAATTTTTAAAAGATTTATTTACTTATTTTAGAGAGAGAGAGAGTGGGGGAGGGTCAGAGGGAGAAGCAGGCTCCTGGGCCACCCACAGGCGCCCAGTAGCACCTGTACTCTTGACCACTACCCTTCTTCTGTTCACTTTCTTTTCTGTATCCTTTAGGTTCTGACTTAGTTGTCTCCAGCCACTTTTTCCTGCAGGATTTAGACTGTAGCTCTGCGAGAGATAAATTATAAAGGGCCTTTTATTTAATAAATTCAATAATGTAGGTCCGTTGGTTATAAGACGGGACATCGTCCTTTTATCTAATTCAGAATTTGTTATTTAATATAAGAATCTGCTGTTTTCCTCTTACGAAATCAGTTATTTGAAACGTGACCGATGGAAACAGCGTTTGTATTTCAGAATTTGTGTATATGTGGCCTTGACAGAACTAATACATTTGCAGAGAATTTCAGAGAATGGATGCTGAGAAACTATAAAGGCAGAAGATTAAATCTGGTTCAGACACATCAGTGAATCAGTGTGCAAATTACAGGCTTATTATTAAAGTGAAGTGTACTGGCTCGTTTTATCCGGAAATTGAATCAGAGGTTTCTCTTTGAATTTTAATTGGATCCTAAAAATGGATAGGGATGTGCCTTATCATATGATCATTTGAAAGCAAATTCTTTTAGCAAAATATTACTTAAATTTCATAGAAAACACACAGGTTAAACCCATGCATTGTTTGAACTTTTCCTCTTGGCTTTAATTTTTATTTTGATACATTATGTAAGAAAGGTGTAAAAAATGATGCTTTTACGAGTGTAAAACTCTCAATTACTGTTTGTCAGACTTTGCAGAAATTTCCTAGTTCTTAGGACGTCTGGGTGGCTCAGTCAGTTAAGTGTCTACCTTCAGCTTAGGTCATGGTCCCGGGGTCCTGGGATCCAGTCCCGCATCAGGCTCCTTGCTCAGCGGGGGGCCTGCTTCTCCCTCTGCCTCCCACTCCCCCTGCTTGTGCGCACGCTCTCTCTGTCTCTCTGGCAAATAAATAAAATCTTAAAAAAAAAAGAAATTTCCTAGTTCTGTTAAGAAAGACTTTGTCAGCTTTGCTAACAGCTGTATCAGAATTTGGCATAGAACCTGATACATGGTATAGTACTCTATCCATTTAGTCACTGAATAAATTGGAAATTGCTCTTAATGTGATTTTTACACTTTTCTCATGTACTAGGTATTGTTGAGGGTAAAATCAACAGAACTTGTATATAATGTAAACTTACATGATAGTGAAATGGTTCAGACTGAATTTTAGTAAATTGTAATACTCTTCAGTAGGATTTGAAATTTGGTCATAGTAATATCACAAGTGATCACAGATCAGAGATACGTGGAAGGTAAAATGCTACAGTTAGCATTTTATTTTTTTCTTTAAAGATTTTATTTATTTATTTGACAAGAGAGAGACACAGCGAGAGAAGGAACACAGGCAGCGGGAGTGGGAGAGGGAGGAGCAGGCTTCCCGCCGAGCAGGGAGCCCGATGCGGGGCTTGATCCCAGGACCCTGGGACCATGACCTGAGCCGAAGGCAGATGCTCAATGACTGAGCCACCCAGGCGCCCCTACAGTTAGCATTTTAAGTAACAGATAAATATCAGGTGTTATGAAGAGGATGATGACACCCCTATTTGAGTTAACCTTGAACTGCTCAGATTTATTGAATTGATACCTTGTTGCAGGTTTTGATACAATGTGTAATTGGTTCTTAAGTTTGTATTTTTTTTAAGATTTTATTTATTTATTTGACACAGAGAGAGAGCACAAGCAGGGGAAGCAGGCAGAGGGAGAGGGAGAAGCAGGCTCCCCAGTGAGCAGGAGCCAGATGCAGGGCTCTATCCTAGGACCCTGGGATCATGACCTGAGCCGGAACTTAACCGACTGAGCCACCCAGGTGCCCCTTAAGTTTGTATTCTTAAAGCATACACAGGCACACATAGCCTCCCTGGTCAGTAAATCAACTCAGGTGAGGAAGTAAACAGTGGTTG